AAAAAAAAATGCTACTCATATTCCTTCATTATTTCCACAGATGCTTGCTAGAAAAACTAATAGCTGACGAACCACTGTTTTATCAAAAAACCAAAATTTTCATTCCTCTGTCTAGAACACTTATGATATTCTAATTTTTTGTATGATATCCCACTTCTTTGTCGAGCTCAATGTATAACGGCATTTTTTGTAATTAAATATTTACTGTCACAGTAGTGTTTCTGAAAATACCATCTTTAAATGTGGCGAATCATAAGAGATCATTTTATTCAGTGGCCAAAAATTACTAAAAATATATAATAATGAACGAAGCTAGACCTCTAACACCTGTTCAGCGAGAAAATCCTATGAGATGACCAGCTTAAAAATAAGGTAGGACTTCTTCCGCAATTTTTCATATGCTAGCAGCAAATCAAAATTTAATGCCATAGCAAGCGACAACAAGAAAGTGACCAACTTGAAAACTTACTTTCCCTAGCAACGATTCAAGTTAAATTGGCAAACCGCTACAGGTAAGCTAAACAGAATAAGCAAATTCAAAAGCAAAATATTTTGGATCTCATAATACCTATTCAGTCTTGAAATATCAATTGGAGCTTTGATAAAACAAAAAAAAAAAAAAAATAAACTAAGGTTTTTTAAAATGCGTCACACGAAGACTCAATTCATTTAAAAGAGATTCCAGGTGTAAAACAAGAATAAAGCTAAAAAAGAAAATACGAAACAAGGAAGAAGATAAAAAGTGGTCTGAGAACTTTCTCTTTAATTGAATAAAATATCAAGAATCTCCACTCAGCTTGGAAATCTCAGAAGAAAATAAGTATGCATAATTCGACAAAAACAAGAATTCTGAAACAGGGATAAATTTCTGCACGACCGATCTCTTCCACTTTATCAACCACACAAAACAATCACCACTTTTCGTAATGCAACTGATTCAACTGGCGGTCGGACCTCAACCCATTCTCTTCCCTCACACTACAATTTCCAGTTCAACGAAGCATTCGACATTTGATCATGCTAAGTACTCCTTCACTTCGCTTTCTACAGTCTTTGTCCATTCGACTTCCCAAGAATTCTGGTCTCCCAAAATAAACTCCCCGAAAATTAAAAACGAGGATTGGGCAACTGGACAGTGGATACTACAGACTTTTAAATGTGCTAACCTCCATCACCAACCGTTCAGTCTTCGTTAATACTTCTAGCTCCCTAGCTCCCCAGAAACCCTCAGAAGCTCGAAGGAACAACAACGAAAACAAGTACTCTTATCCAACTTCAACCCTCCAGCTCCTAGGCTCAAACATGAAGCAGGGTACTAGGCCACCGAGTCACGGCAGCGGAAGAAACTCCTCTTCCTGGAAGAATATCAGGAATCACGACCAATAGAACAGCGAAAATACAGAGGCCATCGATTTGACAACAGCCTCCAGTAGAGAGGAAACCGCCTCACAGCCTGAACTCCAAACAAACACCGTCATTTTAAATGTCTGAAGCACTCTAGACTGCCTTGAGACTTCTAGTAATTAACTTCCAAACACCACATCAAAAGAACGAATATTTTTATACACTATAATGTTCATACCGTTCCGATTATAAACATTAACACTTATTAAACAAAAAAGATTGAAAAGATTGTTACAAAATACAGAATAGAGTAATTTATCCAGCGTAGAATTATGGTATTATGACTGCAACCACACTGTCCTTTCAAGCAAAATAGCTAAAAGATAATGAGTCAGTTATGTAAAACAAAAAAAAAAAATAATAAGACAATTGCTTCCTACTCGTTTGTAAAACAACGAAGAGAAAAAGCCTAAGCAAGGCTATCAACTACATATATTCCCGTTACAAATAAGTAATCAAGAAGTATCCATTCTTTCGATCCAACAGAATTTCCTGAAAATTTAGGCAGTGAAAATAAGAACCATCAGTATGAACTCGTCCCAAACATTTTAAAAGTTATAAATCCTCACGAGCGCGGCACTCTTTAAAAGAATATATGCGATGATGAACCAAACCACAAACTACTTCACAGTATGGGAATTAACTTTCCCAACATCGAATCTTAGTAAAATTAAAACTTCACCACCAATACTACTGCAAGAACGAAATAATTGAAAAATCAAGACGAGAAGTAGTCTTAGGAAAATTTCTAAAACAGCTTGCTGTCACTTGCTTAAATAAACGTTCTGCATTATGGCTAAAACATCACACAGCTCCTTCACGCCACTGAACTTCCGAAGTGCTTCACTAATATAATAACTGGCACCGGCAAACTGAAAAAAAAATATTATTCAATTAAAGGTTTTCTTCGATCACTCTTCCCACTACTATTTGAACAAGGACCCAACTTGACAATTAAAAGATACCTTCTTCGCTACTGGACTAATATCAGCGATAATAATAAGGCATCTCGCTGAATTGTACACTGCATCGTGCACCTTATAATAGGCAAAAAAATAATGAAAACAGCTCTTCACCAAATCGGTAATTTGTTCCTCATCCTCTCTGATGCTGTGCTGAACAGCTTTGATCTGTAACCGTTTCGCTGCATTTAAGGTGCCAACAAAAGTAGTAATTAAAGCAATTCAATTGCCAACAGTTAATTTAAAAAAATACTTTTAAAATATTATGAAGGCAAAAAAGAAGATGTCTAGCAACAACACTTTCGTGCACGCCTCTATTAGAAGAATCCAAAGCATCTAGTAAAAATGACAGACCATGATTCTTGTACACATAAAGACCGCATTCATCTGAGAGGGCAGTTACTCTACCTAAATCAATTCAGTTCATTTCCACAGTTGTTTTCCAAGCTAATTCATGCAGTACATCCTAAAAGTAAAAAAATCACCAAGAGTAAGAGCTGCACAGTTGCGACGACTCAAGTCGTTGCTAACAAGATCACTGATTGCATCAATCACACGTATTAAGCAAGGCCGACCACGCTCAGAAAAAGCAGTCTCATCATCTTCCCTGAACTTGATCATTTTCTTAGCCACAATTTCCCGTTCTTTTGCGAACCTTCTTCTCACCAAAAAGCCACGAACGTGCTTCTAAAAATCTATTCAACTGCGTAGAACGTGAAACAAAGCAAATGTCTCGAGTATGACAATATAAATTAATCCATCCAACAGTTACAAAGATAAACAAAATTATAACCGACTTCATAATACATTCCACTTAGAACTGCGAACTTCCACTTTTCAAAAAAAAAACCTTGGGTTCATTAAAACCCAATTCTTCACGGCTCTCCTGAGTTTAAAATTTAGTTCTATTGCCCCGTTTATTGCAAACCTGACCCAACGTGGCATTATACCCTAACCAATTCAATGTAATCGTTCATAAATAGAATAAAAAAAAATGCGTAAAAATTTAGTGAAAAGAAGGGCAACTACAACGAAGAACGTCTTTGTTAATGCAGCTTCCTCTGTTACATTTCGAGTTTTAGTTAGTAGTTAATAAGTGAAAATAGCAAACACGCTTTAATATTTAGGCGTGACAGAAGGCAAACAAGAAATAAGTTCCTTGCCATAACTAGCTGGTATTACTTCCTCTACATTTTTTGGAAACAACAGTTTTTTTACCAAACGCAATTTTTTTTATAGCCCTATAAATCCAATTTTAAAAAAAACTAAAATTCCCACCTTAAAAAATCAGTGTCAAGGTACATAGCTTAAAAGAGCGAGAAGCTCCCCAGAAAGCACAGTAGGTAAAAACAATGTATCGCGCTAAAAACATGTGTGCCACACACTGCAGATGTTCCAGTGGATTGTGACATTGAAAATGAAAACAATTGCACAAACCTGGATTGTACAAGCAGCTTCCCGTTCCCTTAACGCTCTTAAAATCTGCCGTCCTTTATGTCGTCTCCATGAACGCTTTAAAAAAATGTTTTTTTTTCTAAACTAATGTAGGTTTAATTTTAGACTGATCAAGTTCCAAATGCCTCGCTTTACAAAAAACTTCAACTTTTGACAAAAAAACGAAAAATTAGCGTAGCAGAAATATTCTCGCCTCAAAAGATTACATACTTGAATTACAAGAGCAGCCTTTTCCTTTTTCAACAATTTCAAAGCAAGTCGAGCCCTGTACAGCCTCCATGAACGCTGGAAATAAACAAACAAGAAGTTTATTTTAATTTGTTGCAAACTTCAAAAGAACAAAAGTCTCCTACAGCAGTCAAATCAATTAACTTCATTCATCACTAATCTAAGAAGTTAAGAGCATGAAAGCATCTTAAGACCAGGAGTTGAGAAACCTGGATTATACAAACGGCCCTTTCCTCCCTCAGCCGTCTTAAAGCACGCCGCGCTCTATACAATCTCCATGAACGCTGGAAAAGAAGAAAACCAGAGAGATCTTTTGTAAATTCCTGACAGAACAAAATTTTTTGTTACGGCAATCGGTTTTTTTGAATGCATCCATCACGAACGTTAAGAAATTCAAGTTCTAAGCAATTTTAATTAAAAAATTCAAAAACCTGGATTACACAAGCAGCTTTTTCTTCCCGTAACCGTTTCAAGACACATTTTTCTTTATACTGTCTCCATAAACGCTGTAAAAAGTTGGTAATAAACAAAAACTTCAACTTTAAGCGCATTCAACTCCAAGCAATAAAATAACATATATATATGGGCCATTCCATGCCAAATCGCACACCTCCGTACATCACTCTCTCAGATCTTTTTCATTTTTTGCTGATTAGTAAAGTCTGGGCTAGCATAAAAAAAGCCGCAAAGAAAATCCAAAAAAGTGAATTCCCCGCCAAGGTACACCTCCCCTCATAGTTGCAAAATTTGCCAGGTTGCCACTTGACATGCCTATCTTTGAAGGCTTGTTAATTTGGTTCGTTCTTGACGTAATTGAAGTTTTTAAATGCAGCTTATTTCTCATGTCTCAACCTTTTGAAAGAGTATTAAATAATTTAATTTTGATAAAAATGCACAAAGATATAATGAAAAGTTTCAAACAAACATAGAAAAAAACTTGTTTTCAAATTTTTTAAAAAAGATACATTTTGTGTAAAATTTTATTCTCTACAACATATCAAAATTTGAAGAGGGCGATTTTTTATTATCCGCAGCTATGAGGCGGAATAGGATGTAAAACCGAAAAAAACCACCATTTTTACAGTAATCCCATGTATTTTACAATGGAGAATGCATCCGGGGCCGCTTCTGAAAACCGCAGTTGGCAGCCATAAATATCCAGTATACTTTAAACGTTAAGAATCTGCTATAAAAGTTGTAGTTTACTTCCATAATACTGACTGTTTATTATTCAACAGAGTTGTGAGATGTGGCCTTCACTCTAACGTTTTCTATTTCTCGTA